GTAAAGCCAAAGAAGACTTTGTTAAGAAAAGGTTTGTTGTTTTGTATTTTTCTTTTTGAAACAAGGTCTCAGTATGTAGTTCTGGCTAGCCAAGAACTCACTGTATAGAACAGGAAGGTCTTGAACTTGCAGAGCTCTATCTGCCTCTGTCTCCTAATTGCTAGGAAGAAAGGCATGTGTCTCATGCCCAACAAAAAAGTTTTTAATATAAGCTTAAATATAAGCTGAGAAGGAGACGTGGAGGGAGTGTGACTTAAGGAAACAATGAGGCTTCTTCAGACTGTGGATTTGGCAAAGTTGCACTTAACTGTCTTGATACTAGCCGTATACACAGTTTTCGTAGGTTTTGGAGTTACATCACTCAAATTACATAGAAGATTAAGTGAAAACATTTTGGTATGCCCATATATACCTGAAGATCTTTTCTTTGGTAAATAACATGATTTATGAGCTATAATATACAAGCCAAATGACAGATAAGATAAAAATATAGATTAAAATTGATTTAAAGTATTATGATAGGTCACAGAGCGATCAGGACATGGTTTGACTATAAATAAGATTCATTATTGTATTTTTGAGATTTTCTTGATTCTCAGCCAACAGGGTTGAAGGAATTCTTTTCTCTGGCCTTGTCCCCTTGATTTTTACTGCCATTCTGTTTTGCCCCCAGTTGTCTAAGACTTTGCCTAACAGTAAGAGTTGATAATGATCAAAGTCCCATTGTTCAAGTTTCTTACTTCTGAAAATGGACAGAGACAGGACCTGCCTATCCACAGTTTTAAAGTCTTTGTCTTATCTGAGGGAGATAGATGAGTTGGAGTTTGGAGCTCTGAGGATCACCGTTCAACAGAAAAAGTGAATTTCTTTTCAGTAGGTTTGTGTGTGTGTGTGTGTGTGTGTGTGTGTGTGTGTGTGTGTGTGTGGAGGCAGTTTTCTCTGTAGCTTTGGAGTCTGTTGTGGAACTTACTCTGTAGACCAGGCTGGCCTTGAACTCATAGAGATCCGCCTGCAAGGCCCAGCTTTCTTTTGAGTAGTTTTTAACTTGTTTCAGTTACAATGTCTTTTATTTGGAACTCTGATCTATTTCCTTTGCGGGCAACCATTGCCTTGATTCAACAGCTATGAAATCTGTCTTCCAGTTTTTTGTACTGCCTTTCCCCTCTTATACTCTTCCTTAGTGATTAAGTGACTTACTCTACGATATGATTTGAATCTTTGTTATTTTTTTTTTATTTTGGTTTTTCGAGACAGGGTTTCTCTGTGGCTTTGGAGCCTGTCCTGGAACTAGCTCTGTAGACCAGGCTGGTCTCGAACTCACAGAGATCTGCCTGCCTCTGCCTCCCGAGTGCTGGGAGTTAACATTTTTACTGTTAACGCTTGAGGATGTGTATGCACACATATATACATACAAATTATAAAGCCGGGCGGTGGTGGCGTACGCCTTTAATCCCAGCACTGGGAGGCAGAGACAGGTGGATCTCTGTGAGTTCGAGGCCAGCCTGGTCTACAAGAGCTAGTTCCAGGACAGGAACCAAAGCTACAGAGAAACCCTGTCTCGAAAAACCAAAAAAAAAAAAAAAAAAATTATAATTGCTGTTTTGCTTCTTAGGAACCAGTCCTAGGAAAGTTGAAAGTAAAAGGTTTCTTTATTTGTACTGTAAATGTTAGGTTAGCCTGTTCCAGTTGGTCGCTCTGGGAAAAGGGTTTGAAGATTTGATTACGCTTTCACCTCGAGACAGTAAAATGTGGGATTATCAAATGAAGGTCACACTCTACTAAGAAGCAGACAGAGCAGTAGCCACCAAGGAACAAAATACCCAAGCAACACAGATAGTGGCAAATATTAGCACCTAGAATTACAATCTTCCCCAACCCAGATGCCTGGATGCCAGCATAAAAGCCACAGTTAATAACAGCCAGGGCAATATGTCTCCACTAGAGCCCAGTCCTACCACAGCAGGCCCTGAGTATTGCAACATAGCTGAAGCCCAAGAAAGACCTTAAAACAGCCTTTATGCATGTGATAGAGAGTCTTAAAGAAGAAATAAATAAATCCCTCAAAGAAATGTATGAAAATGTTAGCAAACAGTGCAAGGAAATGAATAAAACAATTCAAGACACAAAAGTGTAAATAGAATAAAAAAAACTGAGGGAAATCTGGAAAGGAAAAGCTTAGGAACTTAAACAGGAACTACAGAGGCAAGTTTCACCAACAGAATTCTGAAGATAGAGAGAATCTCAGGTGTTGAAGTTATAATAGAAGAAATGAATATATCAAAGAAAATGTTAAATTTAAACAATTTCTGACACAAAACATTCAGGAAATCTTGAACACCATGAAAAGACCAAATCTAAGAATAGGAATAGAGGAAGGAGAAGAAACCCAGGTCAAGGACACAGAAAAGATTTTCAAGGAAATCTAAGAGAAAATTTCCCTAACTTAAAGGAAGAAATAACTATCAAAGTATGAGAACCTTATAGAACACCAAGTAGAGTGGTGTTCTAAAAGTAAGTCCCCTTGGCACATAATAATCAAAACATTAAGTATACAGAGCAAAGAAAGAATGTTAAAAGTTGCAAGGGGAAAAGATTAAATAACATATAAAGGCAGCCCTGTCAGAATTACACCTGACCTCTCAGGGAAGACTCTAAAAGCTAGAAGGGCCTGATCAGATGTGCTGCAGACTCTAAGAGACAACAGATGCCAGTCCAGACTACTATACTCAGCAAAACTTTCAGTCACTGTAGAGAGAGAGAAAACAAGATATTCCATTATAAAGTTTAAACGTATCTATCTACAAATCCGGCCCTACAGAAGGTACCAGAAGGAAAACTCCAACTTAAGTAGGTTAACTACATTGAGGAAAACACAGGGAATAAATAATCTCAAACCAGCAAAGCCGAAAGGGAAGTGTGTGTGCGCACATACACATGCACACCACCACCACCACCAACAAAATAATGGGAATCAGAAATCATTGGTCACACTCACCAAGAGAAAGACACAGATTTATGAATGGGATGTGAGAAATCATGATCCATCCTTCTGTTGCATCCGAGAAGTACACTTTAACATTACCTCAGGGTAAAAAAAAATGGAAAGAGAAGATATTTGAAGCAAAAGGACCTAAGAAGCAGCTGGTGTAGCCATCTTAATATTTGACAAAATAGACTTCAAACCAAAACTAATCAGAAGAGTTAGAGAAGGACACCACCTACTCATCAGAGGAAATATCCACCAAGATTATGATGCAATTCTTAACATCTATGCCCAAACACAAGGGCACCTAAATATGTAAAAGAAAAACACTACTACAGTTTAAGCCACATATTGACCTTCACACACTGGTAGTGGGAAACAGCATGCATAGGACTTGCATGGGTCTGTACCAGGTCCCTTGTATGTATGTTCTGGTTTTCAGTTTAGTGTTTTTATGGGATTCCTGAGTGTGTAAACCAGTGGATCTCTGTTTCTTGTGCCTTCTGTTCAGCTCTTTTCCTTCTGTTGGTTTGTTTTGTCCAATTTCAATGTGTTAAGATTTTGTTTTATTTTATTATTATCCCTTAGAGTGCTAGCTTCGGCAGCACATATACTATTATTATCCCTTAGAAGCCTGTTTGTTTTATAATGAGAGACAAGACAGAGTGGATCCATATGGGAGGAGAGGTGGCAAGGAACTGGGTGGAGTGGAGGGGGACAGAATCTGTAACCGTGATTTATTATGTGAGAAAAAAATCTTTGTTCAATAAAAGGTTAAAAAGTAAGCAGGCCATGATGAAGAAGCCAGTGAACAGTGTTCTTTCAGGTTCTCCTCTCGTTCTTGTGTCCAGGTTTCTGCCCGGCCTTCCATTCACCGTGGAGTATGGCTGCAATTGCCCCCGCACCCCCAAAAGAACAATTCCCATCTTAGTTCTTAAAATATAGTACAGAGATAGAATACTAAAAACACTATGGTACTGACACAAAAACAGACATGTAGACCAGTGGAACAAAAGTAAAGACCCAAACATGGGTACACCTAACTTTAGCCACTGAATATTTGACCAAGTAAATAGCCTGGCGAAGAGAAAGCGTCTTCAACAAATGCTTCTGGGAGAAATGAGTATCCATGTGCAAAAGAGTAAAAGAAGACCTGTATCTATCACTTTGCACAAAAACAAACACAAAATTGATCAAAGATCTAAACTTAAAATTGTAAACACTCTAGAAGAAAATGTAAGTAGTCCCCTATGTGATATATAGATAAAGGATAGAACTTTCTCAATAGGACTGCATTCACCCAAGTATTAAGGCCAACGCTTGATAGTGGTACTTCATAAAACTGAAAAGCTTCTGCATAGCTAAAGAGTCAGTCAAGTACAGAGGAAACCCACAGAATGGGAGTGAATCTTTGAAAAGTTATACGTCTCACAGAGTATTAATATCCAGACTATGTAAAGAATTCAAGAAACAAATTGTCAAAACAAACAAACAAACAAACAAAGAAACCCAAATGACCTATTAAAAAAATGGGCCTGGGACCTGAACGGTGAGCTCTGAAAAGAAGGAAAAACTGACTAAGAGTGTTTCAAAAAGTGTTTATGGTCTTTAGATGTTATGGTCTGATTAGAAATGACCCCCATAGCCTCAAATCTTTGAATGCCTCGTCATTAAGGAGTGGTACTACTTGAGAGAGATTAAGAGGTGTGGCCCTGTTAGAGGAAGCTTGTTGCAGGGGGAGTGGGTGGTCTTTAGGGTTTCAGAAGCCCAAGCTAGTCCCGGTGGGTGGTTCTCTTTCTTCCTGCTGCCTGCAGATCCAGCACCAACTACTCCAGCACCAAGATGTCTGCTTGTGTGCTGCCGTGTGTCCCACCATGACCATGGACTAAACCTCAGAGACTAAGCAAGTCCCAAATAAGTTCTTCCATTTTATGAGTTGCTGTGATCATGCTGTCTCTTCACAGCAACAGAACGGTGACTAAGACACTAGCTATTAAGGAAACGAAAATTGAAATACCTCTGAGATTTCATCTTGTTCCAGTCACAAAGGCAAAGATCAGCAACGGAAAAAGACAGTACATGCTGGAGGGAATGTGGAGAAAGGGGAACCTTCCGTCACTGTTGGTAGGATTGCAGTCTGTCTGTCCGCTCTGGAAATCAGCATAGAACATTACCAAAAAGAGATATCCTACCCCTTGGCAATGACATCATTCTCCACAGATACTTGCTGAAAAGTTCCTGTACCCCAATAAGCCTCTCTGCTGACACAATAATCCAAATCAAAACAAATCAAACTAAATTAGAAAAAGCCTAGGTTTAATGGGATACAAATGCTCCTGGATGGTTTTCCAGCCCCTCAGAAGAGGAGGAAGGAGGGTCTAATTAGGGAGAATAGAGAGAAATAAATACAGAAGGAAGGAGGAGGGTTAAAAACCAGAAAGGATGTCTGAGGAAGTCATATGGAATCATACTACCTAAAAATTACACATACACATAAACATACCATACAGTTCTAACTGTATACTTTAAATAAAATTTTCCCATCTGGTTTGACAGTGTTCCCCCAAGAGCCAAAAACCATTTAACATAAACCTCAACAGCAGACTTTCTTTCCAGGGTCGTTCAAGAGACTCCCCAAACATTATGTGCTATTGCCGTTTTCCTTGCTTGACCCATAGAGGTGGAAGGTAAGCCCCTATTGCTGAAAACACCATCTACTTAAGACAGAGTCCAGGAGCCTCTAAACTGGAGCAGACCCAAAAGGCCTGTTCCTGAGGACTAGTTTTTGTGATACCAGAAGGTGCCATTCAGTATTCTAAAGGAAGGAAGCAACTAACAGCCCTACCGAACTATAACACCGATGAGCCACATCATAGCCCTAAGGGTGCAGTAGTGGTATTCATACCAGTGGCGGGCACTAACAAAAGGGAAATTGTGCCTGCTGCAAGTGAAGTCATGGATCTTGGAGGAGAACCTACAACTGCCACTTCACAAAGCAAGTACAATCCCTAGCTGAATTACAGTCTAAGGATTTGTCCCTTTATCCTGTCTTAGTTACTTTTCTACTGCCATGCTAAGACACCATGGCCTAGACAACTTACAGAAGAAAACATTTAGTGGGGCCTTACAGTTTCAGAGGGTCAGTCTATGAGACTTAAGAGCATAGCAGTAGGCGGACAGGCGTGGCATCGGAGCAGTAACTGAGAGCCTACATTTGATACACAAGCATAAGACCAAGAGAGCTAGCTGGGAATGGTGTGGGCTTCTGAAACTTCAAAGCCCATCCCCAGGGGCCCACCTCCTCCAGGCCACACTTTTATTCCTTCCCAAATTCTAAGGACTAAGCATTCAAATAGAAGAGGCTAAGGGGCCATTCTCTTTCAAACTATCACATTCCAGTCTCTGACCCCCATAGGCTTGTGGCCATCTCATAATGCAAAATGCATTTAGAACAACTTCAAAGGTTCCCATAGTCTTTTACCGTCTCAACACAAGTTAAAAAAAAATCCAAAGTCAAAGTCTCTAAGTAATCTCTTAATTGTAACCTCCTATAAAATAAAAAAAGCAAATTGTGTGCCTCCAACTTAGAATGGCACCAGATATACATTACCGTTCCAAAAGGGAGAGAATGGGAGTATAGTGAGGAAATACTGGACCAAAGCCTAACTAAAACCCAGCAGGGCAAACTCCAGATCCTGTAACTCTTATGTCTGCTACCAAAGGACTTGGATGGTTCTTCCCTTCAAGTTTTGCTGACTGCTACACACTTCCCTCTTGGGGCTGCTTCCATTTGCTGCTCTCCTTTGCACATATCCCAGGTCTCTGGCATCTCCAGCATCCCGGATTCTCAACACAATCCAGGCTTTACTTCTGTAATGGCCTTACCTGACCTCAGAATTGCCAGGGAGGCTTTCCTTAATCTTAGAGGAAGATTCCAAAATGTTTATATTCTCATAGCCTTCATGACTCTTAGGCCAAAATCAGGTGGCTCCTGCTGCAAGTTCTGCTGCCTGCTTGGGCTGGACTCTGGCCGCCTCTTTGAACCACATTTGCACAACCTTTGATTCCTTGCTTGGTTGGAACAGATAATTCCTCCGGCCTTTTGTTTTCCCAGATTGCAGGATTAGCTGGGTGGGATCTCACCCTGAGAGCACCACTCCCTTTCTTCCATTTCTCTATCTATTTCAGCACAAACCATGGCTTCAGCATTAAATTTCCTAGTGTTCTTTTTCTCCTCGAACTGCACGTTTTTTCAATTTCTTTTTTAGAAACCTGCATAAGGATGTAAACTCTCAGTTACTGTTCCAGGGCTCATATATTTGACGGCTTAGTCCCCACTTGGTAGAACTATTTGGGAAGGATTAGGTAGTATGCCCTTGTTGGAGGAGATGTGTCCTGGTGGGTGAGCTTTTGAGGTTTCAAAACTTCAAGTCATTTCCAGTTAGCTTTCTGCCCCTTGCTTGAGGATCAGCTGTAAGTCCTCAGCTACATCCAGTACCACGCCTACTGCCTGCTGCCATGATCCCAGCCATGATGTTAAGGACTCTCAGCTGTACTCGGAAACTGTAATGCCCAATAAACTCTTCCTTCTATGAGTTGCATTGGTCATGGTGTCTTCTTAGCAATAGAAAAATAAATCAAGATATCACTCAGATAAGTGTAGTCTTAACCCCTCAGTCAAAGAAACTTCTCTTTATAATAGATGAGGACCATTACAGAAAACTACAACCAATCAAAATGTAGAGGTGTGGAGCTGCATCCCAAATGAACCAACTACAGTTCAACTGCTACACCTAAGGCTCAGGAATTATTGCAGAAGATGGGGCAGAACGATTTTTTTTAAGTAAATTATATCTTTATTCAGTTCCAATTTCACTATACAAAAAATAATCCAATACGTAGGAAGAGAGAGTAATTCAGACACGAAATAAATTGACAGCCTGTGTGCCACTTTCTTTTTTATTATTTTATTTTATTACTTTTAAAAAATACCAGTTCAAATTCCCACTCCCCCCCTCCTCCTACTCCCTCTACTTCCTCCCACCCCACCCCCTCCACTCCTAAGAGAGGGCAAGGCAAGGAGGGGGCACAGTGATTTTAAGAGAGTGGAACAGGGTGCTTGCTGTGAGATTGCCTCTCTTCCAAATGTCAGAAGTTATGCCCATAAAGTCTCACCATCGTGACTATTTAAACATGAATTGAACAAGGGCAACAGCAGTAGACATGTTAAAGTGGATAGGTAAAAGTCCATGAGGTGCCAGGCCAACAGGCAATGCTGAGGGTGGAAGAAATCGTCTTCCCCAGAGAAGAGCACACCAATTGGATATCTAATACCAATTGCTAGCCCTGAAAACATACATATAAGTACATTATACAGATTGAGTAGGTTGTACTTATACATTTAGGAACACACACACGCATGTACATATATGTATATTACAACAATTAATAAAAAATTAGACCATGCAATTAAAACAGAGCAAGAAGGGGTATATAGGAAGACTCGGAGAAAGGAAAGGGAAGGGAGAAAGGATGATATTATATTATAATCGCAAAAGATAAAAGAAACAACTTTTTTATTTGTTTTGGTTTCTGAGACAGTGTTTCTCTGTGTAGCCTTGGCTGTCCTGGAACTTGCTCATGTATCACTAGGTCTTACTGTAAAATGTGCATCTCAGTGAAGTAGCAGGAAGCAAATGGAGCATATGGTATATAGTGTGCTAATATGGTAGTCATTACTTTTAGCTGCTTCCGTGGAGGGAATGTTTTACAGTTAATAATGGAAATAATTTTTTTGCTATGAATAGCAGCAAAGTGTGGCTGCTGTGTGTATGGTGACTGTTTCTGAGTCTCATAGAGCAGTAAGTAGCCCAGTAGCAGAAGGCAGGTTCCCGTGGCTCCACAGTACTTCATGTGGGCTCTGGGACCTGGAAACTTGTGAGACATGAGAAGTTTTGGGTTCCTTGCAGTAATCCACTATATCTGAGTGAGGCTGGATCTTAGCAAGACATTCAGATGAGTATCTGTGCTGAAGTGTGATGTCCGTAATCTGCTGGAGGCTTAAGATGTGTCACAAAATCTTAGTTTTGCATGAGAAACTTATTTTTCACAAAGATGCTGTTTACATAGCTTTTTATTTTACCTAATTTGTTCGTATTTTATGCACAAATCATTATAATTCAGTCATCTTTTTTTAAAAAATAAAATAATCAATTTTATTCTTTTTTAGAAAAATAAAATATTAAAGCAAAACATCACATTAAAGTTGTACAAGGCAAACCAGTAGGAGGAAAAGAGTCCAAGACAAGGCACAAGAATCAGAGACTCATTTGTTTATATAATCAAGAGTCCCATAAAAGTATGAAACTGAGCCGGCAGTGGTGGCGCACACCTTCAATCCCAGCCCCGGGGAGGCAGAGGCAGGCGGATCTCTGTAGCCAGCCTGGTCTACAGCGTGAGTTCCAGGACAGCCAGGGCTACGCAGAGAAACCCTGTCTAGAAAAACCGGAAAAAAAATTACTAAACTGAAAGCTATAATATACATACAGAGGACCTGGTGCAGACCTGCCTTGACCCCATGCCTGCTCTCTCAGTCTCTCTGAGTTCATATGAGCTTTGCTGAGCTGATTTAGAGGGCCTTCTTTTCCTGGTGGCCTCCATCCCCTCTGCCTTTTGTGCTCTTTTCACAGCCTCCTCTTCCAAAGGTACCCTGAGCTCTGAGGAAAGGGATTTGATGAAGATATCTCATTTAGAGATGTGTGTTCCAAGGCCATGCTCTCTTTCTCTAATGTTGGGCTGTGGGTTTCTGTATTTTGTTCCCATTTGCTAAAAAGGAAACTTCTTTGATGGTGACTGAGCAAGGCACTGATCTAAGAGTATAGCAAAATATCATTAGGAGTCATTTTAGTGATGCTCTTTTAGAGCAGCAGTGTTTGGTTTACCCCAGGTCTCTGGGCTATCTAGGCTCTGGTTTTAGTTACCCAAGCAGTGTCAGGTATGGGTTCCATCTCATGGAGTGAGCCTTAAGTCAAAACAGACATTGGTTGGTTACTCCCATAGGCTTTATTATTTGTAACCCTTATATTTTAAGTTTTAGGAATTATTTTTATTATTTTAAGTGTGTGTGTGTGTGTGTGTGTGTGTGTGTATCTGTCTGTCTGTCTGTGTCTATGTCTGTGTGTGAATACAAGTACCCATAGAGGCCAGAGGTGTCAGATCTCCATGAGCCGGAGTTACAGACAGTTACTTGTGGATTCTGGAAGCCAAACTCAGTTCCTCTGCAAGAGCTGTATGTGCTCTTAAGCACAGAGCCGTCTCTGTACTAGGTTACAGTTCAGACAGTTAGCCAAATAAGGAATCTGATCTTTTGGTTTCCTTTTTCAATGTGCTCATTTGTATCTTTGGCAAAAAATAATGTAAGTTAAATTATATCTTCTTATTTTACATAATAAGCAATATTGAATTGTTTTGTGCAGAAAAGCACATGCTTTTCTGGCATGCTGAAATGGGAGCAGCAACATTGCATGGAATCACAGGGATTAGTTTGTAAGAAATTTCTCTGTTCAAAAAGTTGTGTAGTAAATGCCTTCTGAATTGCCATGAAAAAGTACCTCTTGCTTTGTTTTTATTTGTTTGCTAATAGAGGAATCACCCCATTCTATTATTTCAGCACAGAACAATCAAGAACAGATATAGGCTTGCAAAAAGAATTGTCATTCAAAAATTTATATAAATTTAAAAGTTTCTTATCTGGCTAGACAGTGGTGGCACATGCCTTTAATCCCAGCTCTTGGGAGACAGAGGTAGGCTGTTGCGGACCAGGCTGGCCTTGAACTCACAGAGATCTGCTGGCCTTTGCCTCCTGAGTGCTGCTATTAAAGGCGTGTGCCACAACCACCCAACCTCTTGAGTTATTTCTTCCTCAGGTTTTTTCCTGGTTTTCATTTTGGGAAAAGAAGCTTCTACAACCTACCTGATTCCCACCAAAATCCCATGCAGATATCATCAGGAAACTGTAGAACAGAGAAGTTAAAGATAAATGTGGGGCATAATGGCATATGTACTGGGAACAATAGTGAGTTAGAGCTTAGACTGGGTCTCACAAAGAGACCCTTTCTCAAAACAAAATAGATGAACATGACATTTAAAGAAATCAATGATTCAGTGATCCAGTCAGTGAAATTAACAAATATTTATTGAGCAGTTACTTTCTTTCAAGAACTAAATTACATCCTTGAGTAAAGCTGACCTAGATTCTGCTTCTTTCAATCAGGTCTGATAGGAGAAGCAGGAATCACACAAACACACAGTATACCCAACTAGAAACCGGGATTACTGCTGCAGAGGAAATGATCTGCTAAACATGGAAGCATGGGAGAACATTCTGCCAAGATCTGTGCACTTTGGCTCACAAAACAGTGTCTTTATTCGGTGGCAAATGCTCATTGAAGCAAAGCCATCAGGGAGAAAACCTTAGAAAGAGAAAACCATATTTAGTGGCATTAAGTTTTGTCTTGAGACGGACACTTTTGAGAAATTTCTGACTTGGAATAGCCAATTATAGCTGCAGTTCAGGAGGGCAAATGTTGTTAGGAAAACCAATTAGGAGAGATTAAAATTTGTTTTACATCTGTTTATTGTGTGCATGTGCAGGTGGAAACATAAAACATAAAATTCACCACAATCTGTGCTGCCCACAGGCTAATCTATGTCCAACCCATATTTTCCAAATATAAAAATAATTCATGATTATTATAGAAAATATTTTAGATATTATGAAGTTTTCAGATAATTCTACAGGCCATTCTTTTTTAATGCTAAATATATTTTTGTAACAAAAATGTGTGTTTAGGCAAATTTAAATGACACTATATATTTTTTTGTCTTACTTTTCAACCCAATACTACACAATATCCTAATTTCCTTTCCTTTCCCCCCTTTTCCCTCCCTTCCTCCCTCCTTTCGTCCCTCTCTTCCTCTCTCCCTCCCTCCCTTCCTCCCTTTCTCCCATTTCTTTTTTCTTT